AGTTGAGCTCGATCTTAATGATTCTGGAAAGAAGAGGTTTTCCCTAAAGTATTGGTAATTGGCTACATGTAGCCACTACAATTTACAATTTGAAGACAAATATAGTCACTAAAAGTAACTCTCTCCGTCCTGCTAAGATGATTCATCTTTCATTTTCGGTTCGTCTCACTAAGATTATCTTATATAAAATTTGGTAAAAATTATGTGGTTCTAAATCATTATTACTCTATTCTTAATTTATCAATTCAATATCAACCACGTAAATATACTTTTCTCGAACTACCTCTTCATGTTCTAATGTTAATGAGTGGGATTTAGTACTCCGTATTAAATAATATTTTTGTTAACCAATTTTGCAGGAGTAGTTTTAGTGAAGTTTTTTCATTAACCATATACGTAGTATTATATAGATACACTAAATCATGCCCTTTAGTCCAATTTAAATGAATCCTAATAAATTTGTTTTTTTTTTTTATTAAAAAGGTGGGCCTATTTCATCTGATACGGAGTAAAGGTTATCTGATAGCTAGGGAGTTGCTATTCCAATGCTGAAAATATTTTTAGTTGCTCTTTGATGTTTATCTAACTAATACGAAGTTGTAAGCAAATCTATCTTGATTCAATTTTAATCGTCAACAATAATGGGCAAAATTAAAAAATGATCAATTCTTATAATTGTACTCAATTGCAATTTAGGTAGAAATTAATTTCATTTGAAACGACTCTACTTTATTAGTACTAAAAGTAGATATAGAATTTTCATGCTCAAAATCTATTTGCTAGAATCTGGGTGTGCTTATACTAATATGTTCTCTTGTTTTATCTAGGATAGCATTTTATAAAAAGTTAACTCTGAATTAAAATCTATGAGTTTTTGGTAGTTATTTATAACTTCAATTTTAGTATGCTTAAATAGTTTTTCCAATTTAATGATAAATAAAAAGATATTTTCGGAATTACCTTAGGGTCGGTTAAACCTATTTATCAAAACACTATTAGAGTGAACCGTAATGAACCACGTTAACTCACTTGACAATTTTTTCTTAAATTCTGAAATGAGGAACAAAGGTTATGGAAGCTAGCAAATCAAATTACTTCATGGCACCAAAACTAAAAAAATCTCTCTTTTTAAAATTGCTTTAACCTTTTTATTTATTATCTGATTTTTATAAAAATATATGAAAATTCATAACTTTTAATTATCTTTCATTTGACACTAATATTGCATAATTAAAATAAAATAAAATTCAAACCCGATATATTAATTTAAGAATTCGGGTCTACTTAAGAAAAATTTTGAACCCCCCAACCATATTTTTATTTTCTTATATATGCAATGTTGGTGTCACAAAAATGATAATAAAAATTGAAACAAAGGTATTTGAACTATATATTAGAACACATATGGGCAATAAGATATTACTGAAACAAATACTTATTTAGACTAATCTACCTATTTGTAATCTATTAAAAGGAATCTACTTATTACTTATCTATTCAAACATCCATAAGTGATGCACGGGTGGCCTAGCAATTTTTACGGCTATTGATTAGCCTTTAAAAAAAATATCAAAACTAATCTAAATTGAAGTCACTTTATGTAAGTTCAAGGATTTTGAGGGCAAAATCTAAAAATTATGAATTCTAGTGATTGGACTTAATAGCAATTTTAATCACAAATCAATTTCAATTGAAATGACTCTACTTTATTAGTACTAAAGTAGATGTGGACTAGTGATGGACCAGGTTCGGGCCACCCTGCCCGGGAACCGGCCCGGTGCTTTGGGTCCTAAACCGGTCTTTTGACCCGGACCGTAGGGTTTAGCAGGGCGGGCTCGTGCTGAAGAAAAGGTGACCCGGCCCGGCCGGGTTCGGGCCATTTTTTTTTTCTATTTTTTTTGTTCCACCCGAGTTGGGTTGGGTTTTTTTTTGGGGGGGGGTTGGGGGTGGGGGGTCAGGGGGTAGTCAGGAAAGCAATACACACACACACACACACACACACACACTCCTCCCGTCCCGCAAAGATGTTCCCGCTTTCCTTTTTTGGATGTCCCAAAAAGAAGTTCCCCTTTCCCTAAATGGAAAGTTATCCTACATCAAAACAGTGTCAAACAGTGTCCAAACAGTGTCGAAATAGTAAAATTCACCCTCTGGTAAGTTTATTTCCTTAATATGTGTGTAGGTCAAACCGGGAACATCTTTGCGGGACGGAGGGAGTATATATAACCAGGGCCCGGCCCGGCCCGAACCGGACCTGGTGGATACCCCGGGCCGGTTCCGGGCCTACACCTTAAACCCCAAAAGCCCGCCGGGCTTAGGCCCGACCCGGCCCGGTTCCATCACTAATGTGGACATATTTTTGAGATTTCAAGAAAACTAAAAAACTGAAAAAAGCAAAACAAAAAACATGTTAACCGAAAAAAACTTGCTGGAAAATTGGAGAAAAGAAAACAGTAAAATGTGTTTGCCAAATCATTTTTCAAAATATGTCCGGTTCGATCAACGACCCAACGGTCTAGTCCGATCAACGACCCGGCTGTTCGTGCCCAGTCATGGAAATGACCCGATGATCATTCTCCAGTATGATCAACGACTCGACGGTTTGATTCCCATTTTTTAAATCATTTTTTCAAAATGAAGAGTTTGAAAAGAGATGTTGAGTTGCTAACCAATAGGAAAAAGGTTTAAGAATTAGTCAAACTAGTCTTTAGGACGAAACATGATCAGGTACCCTATTTGGGTTGTACTAGGTTCGGTTCAGGACCGAGACCGTACTTTCGGTCTTCCGGTCGGTTTCAGAACCGGATGAAAAAAATTAATGAACATGTTTTAAGGTTTGAAAATGAAAAATAGGAAAATAAAAGCAGAAAATTTGAGATAAAAAAGTGGAAAATGAAAATACAAAAGAAAATTTGAAAATGTTTTGAGTAAAAGGGACCTTAAATTGGCACAGTTAGAGTTTTCATTTTAAAATAGATTTTTACTAAAACAGCGGTAGTTCCTAGCGATGTAGCGCAGTCTATGGTTGAGTTTAGGCCGCGAGGATTGATTTCTGGCGTCAACATAGTTTTGGGAAGCTTTGGCTTTGACTTTTGGCGAGCTACAAGGGGTCTTGCGCTTCGGGAAAGACCACCTGGTGAGCACCTCCGCAGCAGAGCTTCGTGGTAGCGTTCGTAGCAGAGCTTTGTTTTTTAGTATTGCAGATCCGCAGCAGAGGATAGATTGTGAGAAATGATACAAGGGATGTGGAGGCTGCTCGCTTCCGGACTGGTTGTGTTCGTGCAATATTTTGGCGAAAAGAGTGAGGCGAGTTTCGGGCAGATCAAAGTGATGAAAACCAGTCCCCCTCTTGAACCGCTGTCATGGAGGAAGTGTGTGACTAGGGTTTGAAATACCGTTTCACTTTTTCTAATTTTTTTTATTTCCGGTTCAGACTATTTTACTATTTCTATTTTGTTCTTTCTTTGACAAACAATAAGGGGGGTAGATTGGTGTTTTGGTTTGTTTTAATTGATAAATTACTGTTTGGAGGCAATCGGGGTGATTCAGTCGCAATAGCCTCTGTGCTCTCACGGTTTCAGCGATTAGTCTCGCTCTTTTTAGGGTGGACTATTCTATGTCTGATTAGTGATTATGACGTGAGGGGCCCGATGAGCTTTGGTTTTGGATGGATAGCAAGAGAGTTAGGTCTTGGGATATTTTTATTGTTTCGGATTGTTTGATTTAACATAAACTTGTTTTCTTCAAAAAAAACAAAAAGGGACCTTTAGGGCCTGTTTACTAACACAGTTTTTTCCAGTTTTCGGGAAAACTAGAAAACTGGAAAAAGGAAAACGGAAACGTGTTTACCAAAGAAAATTGCTGGAAAACTAGAGAAAGGAAAACAGAGAAATGCGTTTACCAAATCGTTTTCCAAAATAAAAAAAGAGATATGTCTCTGTTTTCTTTAATGAATTGGAGAAGTGACTTTTACTAGTTTTCCAAAATTGGAAAACGTGGATGTTGCAGTGCCACTATAATGAATTTGCATACGAACGCATAATGGTGTATAGAGTCCCGCTCTAGTGTCATTTCTAGTCTGGTCCGGTTAATGACCCAACGGTCCCTATCTAGTCTAGTCAATGACCCGACGGTCCGTGTTAGTCCGGTCGACGATCGAGCAATCCCGGTCCGGTGACTCCGGTCCGGTCGATGACCCGACGGTCCTAGTACAGTCCGGTTGATGACCCGACGTCCCCCTCCGGCCCGGTCCACGATCCGGCGGCCCCCTTCCGGTCCGATCCAAAACCCAGTGGTGCCTGTCCGATCCACAATCTCGGTCTTGTCTGGTCCTGTCTGGTCCACGACCCGGCGGTCTCTGTTCAGTTCGATTGATGACCCGACAATCCCTTTTTAGTCTGATCCACGACCACGTGGTACCTGTTCGGTCCGGTCGACGGCCGGGCAGTCCGGGTCCAATATGGTTTGGTCAATGACTCGACAGCCCCCGTCTGATATGGTCAACTACTCGGCGGTCTCCGTCGTGTCTAGTCAACCACCCAGCAGTTCCATCTCATCCGATCAACGGCCCGATGTTCCCTATCTTGCCAACCAATGACCCGCCGGTCTGTGTTTGGTCTGATCAACAACCGAGTTGTCCCGGGCTAGTCCTGTCAATGACCTGACAACCCTTTTCCGCTCCGGTCAATGACATGATGGTTTGGTCTCGATCGTTTTAAATCATTTTTAAAGTGAAGAGTTTTAAAAGAGCCGTTGAATTGTCAACCAATAGATAAATGAGAAAAGAATTCCTCAACCTAACTGTTGAGATCGATCAAGACCAACTGGTTTCAATCCTGACTTTCCTATACATGGGACCTGGTACTTTACTCGGGTTGTACTAGGTTCGATTCCGGACTGGTACCATACTTTCAGTTTTCTGGTCTGTCACAGAGTCGGGTGATTTTTAGATTTAAAATAGAAAATTAAAAAATGAAAAATAGAAACTTACCGAAATAGAAATCGGTAAACAGGCCTAAATTTTCTGTACAAAGAAAAATAAATTGGTGTTGCTATCGAAGCCGGAATTTTGAAGCTGAACCTCCTGGAGAGGGAAACTATGGGCGCCGGTGATGAAACTCTCACATCTTCTTATGTTTCGCCTTCTCAATCTGAGAGTTGGAAGGAGCGAATTCTCGTCCCTACTATTCTTGCAGGTATACTTCATCTTCTTTATTTTTCAGTAGGACGAAGTTTATTCAATATTTCTAATTCTGATATTCAACGTTGATTTTTTGTTTTCTATTTTAGGGATCGCTGGAGGAGGAGCTGGATTATTTTCAAAACATCGTAAAGTTCATGGTCTTGCTAATATTAGCGCTACTTATGCTTCCAATTTAGCAATCGTTACGGGTTGTTATTGTGGTAATTTTTTCCCATTCAATTGAAATTTGTCAATGAAATGTTCACATAGTTTTGCTTACACATGTTGAAACAATTGATTTTACATCGTGATTAATGAGTCCAGCTCACCCCTTTAGAAATAGATGGAGCTGGTATGCCATGGTCATAGATGTGGGCGGGGGCATTATGCTCTTAATATGGACTTTTGATTCAGAAATAGATGGGCTGCCATTTCTGAGGAATACAAGCTACTTATTTAGATATTAGAACTATCAACTTTATGAATGAATGAATGGATTTGATGAATACTGGCTACTTTGATGCTCTCCAGGGGCTCGTGAGTTTGTAAGAGCAAATAGAACTGGAAAACCTGATGACTTGTTGAACTCAGTACTTGGAGGTGTTGGTAGTGGTGCTATTTTAGGAAGGCTTCAAGGTAAAACCGATAACTCTCTGTATATGGTATATGATATTGTTAAGATACAACTGCAATGCTTAGATAGTTAGATCATATATCTGGAAGAGGTTTTCAGGGAGTCTCTTTGCAACTACTGTGTAAATTCTCCAACACTGTCTTATTTAGTGCTCTTTGTTTGTCTGTCTGTCATGTTTTATAAGTTGGTCAGTTTTAGTATAATTGACCACCCTGCCCTTGTACCTAATTTGATCTTTCAATCACTTTTTCATGTAAAGAACTCAGTATCGCGTAGTCGATATCAGGTATGTTTGTGCGATCAATCACGGGCGGCATGCTAGTGCTTCGACTTTGATGTGAGGATTGAATAGGAGGAGAAGGATGGAAGTATCATTACTATATATCTAAGTCTTTGTCTTTCTGAGATAGGAAACACATAAAATCTGTTTCCATCTGGATTGCCTAAGATATTATTCCTGCTTGTATGGTTCTGTCATTGTTTCCTGGAAAATCATTTTACCAGGAAGTTAAAATCACTTTCCCATTAATATAAATAAATAAGTCTTGCCTCCAACCCCTTAGAAATGGATTGGCTGGTTTTGAAGGAAAATAAGGCCACTCCATAGTCCATAGGGGAAGCGAAATACTGTGTGGTTGGGTGAAAGAGCGAGCCAAGCTCCCTCTTTTTTATTTTCTGGAGGGAAAGTGTTAGACACAGAGAATTGGTGTAGAAAATATTATTGATATATTAGAAAATAAGAAGAATACAAGCCGAGACCAATTCGAGAGGGCCTCGATCTCTCCCAGATCCCAATTTTCCCAAATCCCAGCCTCCTTTTCCTGACTCATCTGTTTGCCTTTTATTTCCTTTCTCCAGCCTGTCCAGCTTCCACATTTATTTAGACCACCCTTTCATTTCCTTTCTCCAGCTCAACCTGTTTAGCTTCCACATTTATTTAGGCCATTCCCCCCAAGCTTGATTCCCCCTTTTATTAATAAACCCTCACTTAAATTATTGGGCCTAGAACCCTATTATTGAACAACATTAAAATACCTAAAAAACTTAATAGACACCAATTATTGGTAGTGCCCAGGTCCTTAACATCACTCCCCCCCTGAACTTCCACCTTGTCCTCAAGGTGGGTCGTAAGATACTGCTCTGGCATTTGATTTCAGTGAGTTAACGGCTACATCCAGTTCGGGCTGTTGATCACTTGTTCCCGTTTCTTCTTCTGGCTCTTCCATCAATACAAATTGATAATGTTTCATTCCACAAACATGCTCTTTGCCCCATTTGTTTCCACATTTGAAGCATAGGCCCTTCCTGCTTCTTTCTTCTAAGTCTGCTTGTGTCAACCTTTGGCCTCCCTCCCATTTCTTATTCGGTTTTGGAGATTCCTCCAGCTTGTTCTCCGAAGGTGTTTTCTCAGTAGTTTGCTTGTCCCCTGAAAGTGTTCCCTCAGGAGTTTGGGATTGATTAGGAAGTGTTCTTCCCTTAATTGCTTCCCCCCAGTTCAAATGCCTGAACATAGTCCCTCCCTTCTCCTTTCCATTCCTCTGGTCCCCAACCTGATATTGTTCCCCTCGAAATGCAGCATTCTTCCCTTCTAACACCAGAGAGATATCCATCAGTTCAGGGAGGGCAGCATTTGGGTATAACTTGAGCTCAGCCTTCACTTCTTCCTTCAGGCCATTAAGGTAAATTCCTTTGAGCATTTCCTCATCAGTATGCTTCATTGGACCTGCCACTCGTTCATAATGTTCTCTATATTCCATCACTGATCCAGTCTGTTTAAGGCTTAGCATAGGCCCAAAAGGATTCTGCACGAGCTCTGGTTGAAATCTCCGTATCAAAGCTCCTTTGAATTTCTCCCATGTTTTCTCCTTGTTTTGTTCCTCCCACCATTGGAACCAGTTCAAAGCCTTTTCCTCCATGGCCAGGACAACCAGCTCCACTTTTTCATGATCGTGCACCAGATTCAACTTGAAAAAACGTTCCACTCTAATAATCCATCCATTAACATCCTCTCCGTTGAATAGAGGAAGATCTACTTTCCTTCCGGTTCTCTCAATTCCTCGCTTAGCATGAGAAATATGTGGTTCGCGAGAATCAACGGCCGCACTATGAGAATCACCTCCAGATTGCGAAGATCCTGTCCGAGAGTGTGCATCGGTTTGCTTAGTCGACCGCGACCTACTCCTGGATTGCCGATGACTCTGGTTGTTCGCGAGACGGCGAAGCTCGGCCATCACCCCATCCAACTTGTCTGCTATCGATCGCACCTCTGTGCTGTTACGTTCCAGTTTCTGCTCGATGTTGCTCACGTTTTGCTCGAGATTCTCTAAGCGATGTTCCATTTTTGATCGCGTCAGTGTCATTCACAGCCCGCAGGACCGTTTGCTCTGATACCAATGTTAGACACAGAGAATTGGTGTAGAAAATATTATTGATATATTAGAAAATAAGAAGAATACAAGCCGAGACCAATTCGAGAGGGCCTCGATCTCTCCCAGATCCCAATTTTCCCAAATCCCAGCCTCCTTTTCCTGACTCATCTGTTTGCCTTTTATTTCCTTTCTCCAGCCTGTCCAGCTTCCACATTTATTTAGACCACCCTTTCATTTCCTTTCTCCAGCTCAACCTGTTTAGCTTCCACATTTATTTAGGCCATTCCCCCCAAGCTTGATTCCCCCTTTTATTAATAAACCCTCACTTAAATTATTGGGCCTAGAACCCTATTATTGAACAACATTAAAATACCTAAAAAACTTAATAGACACCAATTATTGGTAGTGCCCAGGTCCTTAACAGAAAGTAACACGCTAACACCCGAGTCTCAATGTGTCATTGCAGATTTGCGGATATGGTACAAATATTCTTGTAGTACCGTGTAGTCATGCCAAACTTGCTGATTAGTGTTCATTTTGTCCCAACTAGAAAATTGACCAAGAGAAACTAAGTGCCTTTGTCATCCAATGAAGAAATCATGAAAACCTTTACTAATCCGAGTCCTTTTCAGCACAATAAGCGAGTCAAAAGCTATTTGTTGTGCTGATAAGCCGAATCACGCTATTTAAGATGTTTGTTGAACTAACAATCCATTGAATGTTATGGCCAGGTGGAAAACATGGTGCTATTCGTTATTCTGTCATATTTGCTATTGCTGGAACATCGGTTGATTTTGCAACTATAAAATTGAAACCTGTTTTGAGAAGATTATACAGCTCTGCAGTTGACAGTAAAGACAGCTGGTTGAGGGTTCCGGAGTGGTCACCTATAAAAGTACTTGATGAAGATGCCCTTGCAGCAAAGCGAGCACGTGAACAAGAAATCTACAAGAGAGTTCATAGTATTAGTAATCTGAACAAAGAAGAATCTTGAGACCAAACATTTTTTTTGTTATGTATACTGTGTTACTGTCCAGTATCCACTTCGTATTTTACTTGTGAGTTGGATCACGTGATAGAGTCGATCCATGCATGGGCAGATAATTTATTTGATGAAGAGAAGACTTACCCCTTATATTTCCTCCAACTTATTTGATGAAGAGAAGACTTGCCCCTTATATTTCCTTCTGGTTAAATCCTTTGCGCATTTGCGGGACCCTCGCCTTGCCGGGACGCCAATGTGCCCCGGGCTGCCTTTTTTCGAGGAAATTTGTCTTACTTAAATAGGACTAAACATTACATTTCTACTTCTAATATAATTAATTGTCCATTAGTTCTCTTGCATCACCGGAGTCAGCTTGTTCGTGGCAGGTAGTTCGGTGGCGGCTGCAGCCTGGCAGCCTTAGGGCAGCAGGTCAGCCCCTGTGACTAGCTGAAAGGTTCTACCACCCTAGAAGAGTTTTTGCCCGATTACAAATAATAAGGCCTATTTGTGTAATTTTAAACCTTCGGTCCTATTTTGGGAAAATAACCTTGGTTTGATTGTGGAAATCTCCTTTTTTTTTACCATAGACATTTTTTTCAAGTGCCATGTTCCCACTTCCCAACTTACATGAGCAATTGTGCAAGCAATTGTGCAATGAATCTAGTTTTGCATTTATGGACAACTTGGCCCTTGTTTGGATAGAAGGCTTTTGACGATGATGACGATGACAAAGGGGTAGGAATAGTGGATTAGATTCCTCCAAACACCTCATTTTTCACTCTCCAACTTGGAGATTTGGATTGTTGATTTTTTCTTAGTTTTCTTTTTACAGTTCTAATCAAAATCAGATATGTGAATCATGTGATATGTGTTAACATATCTTTAATTGAAAAATCAGATCTAGTTTGTATTACCGTAGAATTCATCATTGAAAGTTCATCTTTAACACGTAATAAATAAATTTAAAAAATTTAAAGAAAAATAAAAATGTTTGTGTGTTTCAAAATAAGACCACCATGTTTCTATTCTATAAATAATGTTGTGTGTGAAATTATTATTTGGATTATTAGCTAAATATATCCTCAATTATAATCGAATTAACAAATCTATCATATACTTTCACTTTTATTATTAAAAGACTCAAACTTCAATTTTTCTACTACCTCCGTCCCATATTTATCTTCATAGTTCGGTTTACGATGCTTGACTGACGATAAAGCAACTCGATCCCTGTTCACACTCGGAATATTTTTAGTAAATAAAATTTACATATTCAGAAACTACATTAAAACCGCTACAAAACCTGATCAAGAAAATTTAAGTTTGATAAAAATTTGATATATAAAGTAAAAGATTAAGAGTAATTTGAGTTGACCATGTGAATAGTAACTATGAAGATAATTTTGGGACGGAGGGAGTAACAATTATTCTTTCGATAGATGAATTAGAAAAAATTTAAGAAGAAAATCATATATATATATATATATATATATATATATATTTCATATGTTTTCACTTCTTTAAGTTTTAAGTTTACTATTGATTATACCTAGGTGTGGACCGGTTCCGGGCCAACCGGACCGGGCCCGGTACTGTTTGTACCCGCCCCGGGAAACCGATTCTGGTTCCGAGCCTAGGCCCGGCCCGAGGGGGTAACTGGTTCCGGTTCCGGGTCCTGAAAAAGGTGACCCGGCCCGGGCCCGATCCACCCCTAATTATACCTTATTGGTATTGATATAAAAATGTGTAATTTTGAAAAAACAAAAAAGAAAAGCATTTTTTGTAATGACAAAAAAGAAAAGCATAATTGTTGAAAATGATAAAGTTTAATTTTTTTTTAATAAAAGTGAAAACATAAAATAGATTTGTGAATTTGATGATAGTTTGGGATAAAATAAGCTAATAATCCTTATTATTTTTGTCATATTTTGACATTACCAAGCTTTAAAAATTGCAATATTTTTAAAAGTTGACCATGATTAGTACTCTCTCTATCCGTTTTAATATTGCAATAGTGCAACCTTTGTCAATATTTTTATTGTACCACCAAGTTTGACATGTCTCCTTAATTCTCTCCTCCCTACAAATCTTAACCACATGACAGTTGACTTTGATAAAGTTACAAGGGAGGAAAGAAAATTATTTGGAGAAGGGAAAAGGAGCAAATAAATTCATGTACTAATAAGAAAAAGGTCAAATAAGTCCTTATTTAGGAGGCTCTGTCAGACAGTCGCCATTTGAAGCGGTTCCCAGAGGAATTTTTATGATGAAATTTTTTGAACATCTTATTCATTGAGTCTAGTTTTCTCATACCAAATTTTATCTAACAATTCAATCGAGAAGGCATTCAAATGAATTCTTGAAGATAAGTGCGTTTTTAACTGCATAGTTATCTTCAAGAATTCATTTGAAAATCTTCCCGATAGAAGTTTTAACTGAAATTTGGTATGCGTAAACTAGACTGAATGAATAAGATGCTCAAAAATTTCATCAGAAAATTCCTTTGGGAACCGCCCCAAATGACGACAACCGGACAGAGCCTCCTAACTAAGGACTTATTTGACCCTTTTTCGTTAGTTCATGAGCTTATTTTCCCTTTTTCCCTTTAGAGAATAAAAACATACGGTGGATTAGTACTCAAATCGATAGTTTCGTCGAGCAATTTGTATTATAAAACTCTGTATACAACATTAAACAATTTTTTACATTATAAAATATTTTGTACCTACTATTATACTTTATTTTATGAAAAATCGGTTATAGTAATTACTAAGAACATATGCAGAAATGTTCACGATAATTGACTAATTGAGTGCACAATGTACCATGTAATAATAACTCGATCGGTGAATCTGATTAAAATAGTTAGAAATGATTAAAAGTTAGGTTTAAATAAATTTGTTTTTGGTGGGAAATCTGGCTCGTAAGCATAAATACAAGACAAATATTCTTGTCCGGAATTCCGGACAGGAACCGTTGTCCGGATGGCGGAGTTTGGACCTCTTCCCGATGGAATTTTTAATTTTTTAATGAATTCTTTTGGCATGTTATTCATCAAGTTTAGTTTATTCACACACAAAATTCAGCTAAGAATTCAATCGGGAAGACAGTCAAATAATTTTTGAAAGATAACTATTTTTTTATATGTATACTTTGGCGCAGTTATCTTCCACAAATTATTTGACTGCCTTCTAGCTTGAATTTTTAGCTGAAACTTTTTGTGAATAAACTTGATGAAGAACATGCACAAAAAAATCCACCGGGGAAAACGCCGCCGTCCGTACGGAGGTTCCAGTTAGGAAGGCCTGCCCGAAAGATTACTCTAAACGCAATGTCTCAACTAAATATACCATACAGATTTGTGAAGAAGATGTACGAGATGGGCAGGCCGCAATACAAAATGCCACCAAAACCTTTCCACATTTTAAGAAACACTATAAAAGTATATACCACAAATACAATCACAAGGACAATCACAAGGACATGGAACTATTCCGGTAGTAACATCTCAATTCTCACTATCAGATGTACTTAACAGGGATGCCAGCAAAACTATATCTTTGATACTAACTAGTTAACCCGACGCAATGACCGGCAAACAAAGAAACATAATCTTAGAATCCCGTTTTCACCGTAATTTGAACTAAGCCATATATAGTAGTCACAAAAAAATACAACTACAGAGTTCTAAAACAATTACACCAGAATCTGTCAAGAGAGGAGTGAGACAAGAGAAACAAATTCCAACGCCACACGTCCCTTGGAACGTGTATTTATGACAAAATGTTCAGGATATTTTCTCAACAGCATAAGCAACCCATACCATGGCTTTGAGATTGCTTCAGGAGTTGCATAGTCTTCCGAGGTCAGATATCTCCTCACCCGACTGTGATGCCACCTGTTCCCGAAGTGTTCTACCAACTGTTGACAAACAAAAAGTAAATGAGAGAAGGATCATATAATCATCAGAAACACTAGGAGGCTCTAAATCTTAGCAGGGCAGCTTTAGCATGCTCTAAATTAATAGTATTTCACTCACTCCTCACCTTATTTGCTTAGGTTTGAGATCGAGGATCATACTCTAACTCTTATATGTTGTTGTGCTTACTCTAACTTTATAAAACTAAATACTGCATAGCAGTTATATTAGTTGGTAGTTTTTATTATGCCAAATTGAAGAAATATTATACAAAAGTCAAGCGTACTCCCTAGTACCTAGTAACTCTCATTTAAAAATCAATAGAGCGTTAAAAGTTAATATTGATTTTCCATTTTGAAATTCTTCATCTTAATTGTCAATTAAATTACTTTCTAATACTTCAAAGAAGGGAGTTAATTACACTTACACGTAATGTTTTAGGCGTAATACAGAATACTCATGATTTTTTGCAAATTCTATGATATTCAGCAAGATTCTTGATTGTATGCTTAAGAGTATTTCCCCTTTAAGCATCTCACGTATTACATGACAGACAAATGAAGAAACACAGTGCAGGAAATGGAGACTCTTTGAATCTGGAACCAAAGAACACAATAAATGATGAAGGCAAAAACATGTCTGAGAGAAAAACTTCTGTCGAAACCATATGCTTCAATGTTTGAAGGAGGAAGTAATTGTTGGAAATTTTCAAGCGACAATAATCTGAAAAAACAAACAAGTATGTGTCTTTTCATTCAGTTTTGCATAGAATATATATATGGAAAAGGTATTACCTACTTTATGATCAAATAATGCCAAATCTCAGGTTATTGAAAGGTGGCCTATGCCTAAGTCCAGCTTATATGTCCTCTTACCTAGTTTTTATTGAAGACAAATTTAATTGACAACATGCACTGAATTTGTTGAATGAAAATATGTAGGGCTGGAAGTGCTTCTTGTCCTGAAGTTTCTAGTTTGCTACTTCCTAAAGATGAACATTTTAGCCTTTTTCATAGAATTTATCCTTTACTATGTTAAATATATTTGGGAGTATTTTAACAGAACTAGGTAATTTCAGCAACTTCATCAACAATCAGCATCAGACACAACTTCACCAATTTCAGCAACTTCAGCCAAATTTACAATTCTAAACAGGTACAATTTTCTATTGCTCTTTGCCTTTCAGCAACTTCATCAACATCAGACATGATTTCACCAAATTCAGCAACTTTTAGCCAAATTCACAATTCTAAACAGGTACAATTTTCTATTGCTCTTTGCCTTTCAGTTAGTCCATTATAATGAAACTTATGCTATTAGGTTAGAAAAAATCAAACCTCAGCATGAAGCTTCTCCATTGCCATCCATTCTCCTGGACCACAGAGATCAGAAAGCACATTAGCTACAGATGACACAACATCCTTCTCCTCTAGTAGCAGCAGTTGTTGGTTGTCAGCATCTCCTCTGTCAACGCGTAATCTTCCATCCATCTTCTTATCTGCACACCGATTCAAGGACCAAAAAAAGCTTAATAACAACAACAAAACTAAAGACTTGTTCAAAAAAGCTGGTCATTTAGCAAAAAATGCTTATTAATAACTTCAAATAAAATTCCATTGAAGTGGAATGTCATTTGTCACATTTCTGACAAAATGATCTCCAGATAAGTTCAAGTAACAACCCAGCATGTGGGAAAGAAAATCTCATATTTCAAATTAGCGCCAAGGGCACACATTGAAAAGCCTCAATGGAGGCAACATAGAAAATGATGAGCCAAGTGATTCACAAAAGTTCAGATGATAAGGAATTCACTTATTACTGAGAGATTCTTTTTCCAAAACAAGTCTCACTTTTGAGAATCAACTGTCAAGACAATATTATTGACTCATTTCCTCAATTTTCCCTTCATACATCAAATCATCATAACACCTAGCATATCCATAAGGCGTTAATGAGGCGTAAAATAGACATAACATAGTCACCAGAAGCGCCCAGAAAAGGTGAACAGAGGTATGTAAAAACACTTAAACAGAAAAACAGAGGGACCTAATTGGAATGAGACTCAATAACTCATGGCAAAGAGTGTGTGCAAAAAATAGCTCCTTTAAACATCTGCATATTTATAGGATTATAGCATGCATCAAGCTACAATTTTGTAGACTTGAGTGAACCAAAAAAGGTAACAAGTTTTGCAAGCCATAAACAAGAGGGTCATATAGCCATAAAACCACATTTTACAAGTCAATAACAAATAGAGTTTCACCCCGTCATGTCTCACCTATTACAACCTTCCCCCCAGAGCCACTTGATCCATAGCCATAACCACCAACATCAAAGCTATCACCCCTTCTCGGTTTCTTAATAGCTTCAGGGCCATCATCACCCACCTCATCCTCATAGCCCTCTTCATAATATTCTTTCCCTCTGGGTAATCCCTTCCTTCCTACCCCAGCAGCATAGGCATTCACCAAAGGGGGAGGCAAGAGTTGCTGTGGCTGGGGATGGTGATGCGAAGGCATCCCTGCAGCAACCGCAGCAGCTGCCGGATAATTAGAAGGTACATGATGTCTAGGACCAATTGGACCACCAAGTATGCTTCGAACGGGAAGGAGAAAGTAGAACTCTTTGTCCCCAATTTGGAGAAGGTCCTGAGAATCGAGCTTGACGGGAGGGTTATCAGGGAGGTGAAGAACTCCCTCGACAAAGCATCCGTTCTTACCTAAAACCTCAAGAGCGAAACGGCGGCGCTGGAAGTCGTAAAAGATGCGGGCGTGGTGGCGCGAGATGTTCATCCCGCCGCCGAGGGAGGAGAGGTCAACGTCCACCGTCGACTTCTTAGAGTTACGTCCGAGGATAATGGAGTAGGTCTGCATGTAATACTCGAAATCCTCGCCCTGAAGCTTCGCGAACCCCGCTTCCACATCGCTACCGCCGCTGCTTCCCATCTCGAAACTATCCGCAGACACTTCTACAGAGAGAACAGAGAGTAGGCGTGGTGTACATATATAGGCATTCAAACCCGATACCTTCCGGCGATCACAGAATTCTGATAGAAGGCACTGCGAATTTCGGATTCTTCAAAGCTTGAATTGGAGGGCATCCGGCTGAACAGTCGCATTGCAATTTGGGAAGAAAAGATACTCCGTATCAATTTTGGGGTTGGATCGGTTTGGTTATCTTTTAAGAATCTGCGAGGAACCGTCGATGTATGGTTTGGTTCTTTATGTGAGAATAGATGAAAAATTGTTAACATTTAAGATATTTTTTGGAAAAACTGTCAATTTGTTATTCGTACTTTCAATTAGGCCCTTATACTTTTAAAAAGATCAATCAAGTCCCCGAAGTTTGTAAAAACGTTCAATTGAGTCCATTTGCAGGTTACTTGCCATGTAAGCAGGCCGCCCGCTGACGTGGGGCGCATGTGGCAGCCCAATCAGCAATAATTTTGCTGATGTGGCACACATGTGGAAGCCCAATCAGGCATTTGTTGATGGCAATTAACCTGCAAATGGACTCAATTGAACGTTTTTACAAAGTTCGGGGACTTGATTGATCTTTTTAAAAATACGAGGACCTAATTGACTTTTTCATGAAAGTACGAGGACCAAATTGACAGTTTTCCCATATTTTTTTTGTTTTCATTTCATATCATGCCAATTGCCAAGCCATACCCTTAGCATTCTAAGGTTTCTCTTTCGGATGATGAACTTTTCCACAATGTCCGATAATTTTGGTCTACCCTCTATGGTAGTGCTCCAAGATTGTTTAGACAGGATGTTGCAATACTAGCAAGATCCATGTAAGTGTTCTTATGATTTCTAATGGGAAGCTAGTGTGAAGCTTCCGTCGGGTGCAAGTCTAGTTCGGGCTAGATATGCAGATTCAAGGAGAACGTGATGCACACGGAGAAAGGAGAGGAAGAAGATGCAGTATTGTCAGTGTGTTCCCCTCTGGAACCGCCGTCATGAAGGGATCAAGTGGTCATCATTTTGAAAAAGACACATCAAGCTTGGATCTGGTCGCATGCGGTTTATTGCTCTGGTTTTCTTTCCAATTTTACTTCTGTCTTTTTGAACTTTTTACTATATTTTTGGCTTGTTTGAATTAGAGGTATGTCGGGGTTGCCTAGGCCGTTATTTGCCTCAAATCTCCCATGTGTTCTGCGAAAAATTACGTTATGTTTTGGGTGAATTTTTATATGTCCGGTCAGGGACTAAGGGAGTTCTTCAACTATTTTGAGTTTATTAAAATGGTAAAGAGTACAGTGATCTCAAGGGTAAGAAATAACTCTATGTTGTTCTTTTGGTGGTCAATGATTCGTGTTGCTTCTTTGGAGGTGGTCATCTCAAAATCTGATCGTATGGCTTTTCTTGAGTCTAGATGGAGTCTGTTAGAAGATAGTTGGTGGGTCCTGACTTTTTTGGCTCGTTGTAACGCTAAATTATTGGTTAAATTAATATAGTTTGACGTTTTCTTTAAAAATTTCATATATTAGACCAAATTTTCACACACAAAACAGTATAAAATCGATCAGACCAAATAAGCCAAGATTAACGTTGATTAAAGTAGAATACACGCAAATCATACATTTTAAAACTAAATTGGTCTAGACTTTAGAATGAGTCATACCATAAATTTCAGTACAATTAAAAACATCAGCAATTAGTATAATGGCATTGATTAGTTAAGATTTTTTTTAACACACAATACATGTAACACCAAGTATATGTGCAATTTTCCAATATACTACATAAATTCCCTTACAAATCTTACATTTTCCTTTTCACGTTTATCAATGCACACTATTAACCATCAATATATTTAATTCTCTATGAGTAACAAAAATAAAAAAATCAGATATCGAAAAATTTATGATAAGTCAAATGTAGTTACGATTTCAAAAATAAATTTATAATGCATTAATAAATAAAGTGAAAAATTGAAAATATGTGAATAATGTAAAACTCAACAATGCTTCACATACTCAACAACGGAAGTTGAATAAATGATTAAATATAAAATATACAACAACAACATAATAATAGTAATTGTAACAACAATCCAAACAATAATACTAAAATATAGTCATGAAAATAGTGGTGGTGAGTCTATTGTCTAGTTCGAAGACTTGTGAATTGTTTATATTAGTCAGTTTTTGAACCCTCAATTGAAGCATTTTCAAGACTAATGTTCTTTGTGACTTTGCCAACTAAATCAATTGAATTCTTGAAGACTTGTAAATTATAAATTAAGCGACTAACTTTGCTTTTTCTATGCGCTAGTGATATAACATCACAATATCAAGAGCAGCTGAAACAAAAATTTTATTTTGTTTGGGAGTAACTATATGTTAGTTGAGTTTAAAAGTATTCACTCCAACTATATTTAATTTTGTTTTGCAAAATATTACCCTCATTGGGTACCCATGGGTCTAGCGGGTCAAAGCAAGGGATGGGCGGGGCAAATAGTAGTGGTGGATGGGGTGGGGGTTTAAACACGGGATGAAGATGAGTTAGTGAATCCCCGCCCCAACTCGTCTCATTGCCATCCTTAAATAGCACCCTCCCTTGCTTGCCAACCGTGAAGGAACTCGGATGCAATCTCTAAGCTTCAATAGACAAAGGTCTTCGTGTCTGTATTTGGGTTGCGGCAATTGATGTGTGTTTTCTTTTCAACATTTTCTTATCCCGAGTTTCTTTTTTTTCTTTTTTCATCACTACAACAAAACAAGCCTTTAGCAACGCTCTGAAAATGTTACATTAGATCATTAAAATGTTACAAAAGGCTATTGCAACACTTTTACCAGTGTTACTTCAGGTCTCGTTGCATAAAGTAATATGCAACACTTTTTCTCTTATTATGTAACACTGAATGAAAGTGTTGCATAAATACCTCAAATGCAACACTTTTTGCAACACTTTAACAAGCATTTTAAGCAACACTTATTCAAATAAAATGCAACACTTAAGACATGATTTTAAGCAACACTTTTTTAATATACATGTAACATATTTGTTATGCTATTTTGCAACACGCCAACACTTGTGCAACATTTTATTAAAATTGGCAACACTTCTCTAGAATTTTAAGCAACACCCTTTACCAATATTTATATTAACCATTTTGAAACTTTTCATACTTTTTAACTGCACGTATAGATACAAAACAACATGCTTGTCATGAAATTTTATATATAGTATAATATAATATTACAAGTATTAACATATATTCATAATCTGTAATGAAGAAATATCCAACATATATCATATGCTACAAACAATATCTTAAATACATCTCAAAGAGTGTTTCATAAACTAAAAATTAACACTGCCCAGTTTGGGCAAAAAATCAAAAATATCATAGAATACTTCTAATAGCAACTAAAAATCTTCTAACTGGCCGAAAACCGAAAAAACAGAAGACATGCAACTTCATTTCTTCAACTCTTTTGCCTTAGCAATCCCATCTTTCTCATTTTCCACATCTGAGTGATCATAGTTGCCTCCACATCATTTGACGTCATTGAATACAAATGTACAACCTCTTTTGCCTTATCAATGTCTTCTTTCTCATTTTCCTCTTCACAATTTTTTGTATTATGTGCCTCATAACCCTGCATTTCAATCTGCAATATAAAACAATACACCATACAAAGAGGGCATTGTGGCAGCATCATAGAGTTTTATAAGCCCTAGTACTTCCATCTCATTCTTGTTATTACACTTTCAATTAACTTGTGTCTTCATATGACCATTCTTGGTTCCAATAAGAGTCATATTTCAAGGAAATGACAGTTACGATTTGATGATTTGCAACTGGGATGGAAACTGAAATTCTCAAATGTCAACAAATAACAGATATAGAGCCCCTGCACACTACGGTAATCAATATGCAATAGCAATTAATAAACTGAAATAAAGAACCATCCATCTTCGCTTACTTAACACATTGACCTTCAAGAAGGAATTTGACTTTGAATCTCACCTCAACCGGCTGTCTAAGTTTCCCTAACTGCCTAGTTGCTTTCATGACCTTCAAAGTAGATGTCGCCGATACTATTCCCAGTGAGCCATCGAAATATCTAGCATCAATAACAGTGTCCTGTTAACAAAATGTAATCTTAGTAGGTAGCAGAAAAATGTAATAATGAAAGTATTTAAAGAGAAAAAGGATATGAACTGCCTTACCAAGTGAGATCCAATTAGCAAAGCCTTCTGACTTGGATTGATTCTGTCAATTCATCCATGAACATTTCCCATGTGGTCAATCCATCTGGAAATATTGGCAGACGTAATTAAGTTTCTTGAATAATATGAAACCATGTATGCAACGCAAAATTCATGTTCTCAAACTGGTATCCTCCATCCATGAACGAATAAGGTTCCTAGCCCATATAGAAGCAGGACTTTGGAATGTCCCCTTAAGATAGTAAATTGCATCCTTACTTGCAATTTGCAAGTTGCAAAGTAGTAGTGTTATAAATTTATAATAGGGTACTGATGCATATAAAGGAGTAATAAAATATTGACATAACATTTGACTTAGCCTTGCAAGTATGAGAAATCAAATATGATCATTGCATCCAAAAGACTTGGAAATCAAATATCATGTTCAATTGTTGGGTTAACTTTTTGTAGAAAGAGAGTGATGAGAGTCATCAGAATGAAAGAAGCTAATACCTTTCCAAAGATCATATAGCCTTGCCACGGCCTCCTGCTTTAGTTTTCTCGAAACAAGTTATTTTTAGAGCTCTCTCCATTTTCAGTGTCTGGTTAATAGATATAGTTAATTAATCCATGTTCAAGATGTAAAGGTTCACTTTGTTTAAGTTAAAACATCAGAAGGAAAAAAAGTAGTCCTATTAGCAGAAGTATCCTATACACAGTATGATAGTATTAATCGCTTCACAAGCGGAACTCAAGTTTCATGTGGGCAAAAGTGACTTGAAGACAGGCAGACTACATTGCTTGGCAGCTTAACACATAATGGTTTACCTTAATGATACCCTTTACGAAAAAGCATGGTCCATATACCAACCAATGCAATATTATCCCAATTCAATATCAGTTAAGGGAAAAAAATTTCAGAGTCGCTTATTCATTACCAAAGGAATACACTCCAATTAATCAGACCTAATAATTATATGGATATACATAACAAGTGAAATAAAACGTATTCAAA